TGATGCCACACCAAGGAGGCACGACACGGTCCCCAGCACGCGCGCAGATTAGACGGCCTGAGCATGGATCAATCACGAATGCCACCCCTTTCAACCCCATTTACTCATAACTAGATTAGAAAACATGCCACCCTCTGCTGTTTTATCATGTCTCTGACGATGGCCTCTTATTTAAGGCCAAAAGCTCAAAATAATACAATTGCCGTCCTAGTGATCGCGTCCTCTTCTTCTGTACAATAAGAACCTGGAGCGTGCAAATTTGATTCTATTCGTATATGGATAATATCGGAATACTTTAACAGTGCCTCATTTTTGATATCCATTAGCAGTTAATAAAGTCTGTCTCGAGTTCTAAGCTTTCCTATTATTTTAACGAATGTAGGATCACGTGCGCAGCTTCACCAACTGGTATTCCTTGCGAAGGTGGAGAATGATTGGCTTAGATGACATAATGGAATGCAGTAATATGACAACCTGACTCTATATGTAAGCAAACCCATGTTTATTTCAACATTCAGTCTAATTCTAGGTTCCCTCGTTTGTATTTTTATGCCTTCTGTACTGAATGGTTAATATTTGCAGGAACAATTACGCCTGCAATATTCTGAAGATTGAAAGAAAATTATGTACTGCTATCTTTCCACGCATTTGCATGTTTTATATTCTTTGACAGAAGTGTTTTATGTGAAATATACTAAACACCAAAGGGAAAAATGCGAAACCTTTCCTTTTACATCATTGCAAATTAGCAGAAAAGCCCAATAATCCTTGCTCCATGACCTATGAGTAATGCACTTGGATATTTGTGATGATTTTAATTTTTTTCTTTAATCATATGCGACGGCGTAAATCATAAAGCCACTCTTAAGATCCTGGTGGCAGGTAGATACATTTTCATCTCTTACTCAGTACATAGTACTAATAAGTAGGTAAATACATTTCGCAAACCATGACCAATGGTAATGTGTTTTAAAAAACTAAATTTGATTACCACGTATTATCTACAAAAAAATGTATAAAATGTCTTCCTTTTAAAAAAATCAAACAATAGTAGACTGACGGAAAACTCCTCCGACTGGGAGGTAAAAACGGACTGCCATTGAAAGCAACATCAATGTGCATTCAGTCTTTCACTTTCGCCTGTGGAGAAGGATACATTGAGCGAACAACGAGGCACATGAAACATAGGGTAATTGAAAACATACCGGCCTGGTTAAACAAATTGTAAGCAACTTAAGTAAATATGAGACCGTGAGTATTCAGAGGGGTAAAGTAATTGATCACTTTTTCATAGAGAATTAACACTGAGTCAGTGGCTGACATTTATTTGGGATAAAATTTAATAGAGCAACAGAGTAAGTCATTGTGTATCACAGAAAATCGCGTATAAAAACCTCGTGAAAAACGTGTATAATTTTCTGCATGATTGTAATTGTACGTGCTTGCGTACATGTAGAGAGAAACCTGTAAACAATATCCCAAATCATCGAAAAAATTATGATTTATCATGCTTTCATTCCCTGCTATTGCCCTATTCGTAATAAAAACAATAAAAACGTCAGTTTAAATTATTTCAACACACTATATCATCAAACTCTGGAATGAAGCAGCGTAAGGAAACCATCCCAGTATGAACGCGATCATATTAGGCTCATTATAGTATTAATTTTTTTTTTGCACGCATTTTCATGGAACCGGGAAAGTGTTTTGACTAAGAAGCGTTCAGGCTAAATCCATTTTGTGCGTTTACGTTAGGCGTTTTCTGAAAATACAGAGACAATGAAATTTACATTTCGCTTATTAACCGTCGACAGTTAGTGGTATCCCACTGACAGGCGCACATCGCAAATTCGGACTGCAAGTCTGTTGATTATCGGGCACCTTTATGTCGGCAGAAAAACCAGTTTGTTGGATGACATATGGGTTGATTCCTTACGAAATTTCATGCAGTTATTAGTTCCGCTTGTTCTGCGGATGTTAAAAGCGCTCAGTTAAATTAAAACGTTTCGAGTGTTAACATGGACTCCTGCTTCCGCAAGGAAGATATGCATGGTATTATATATTTATATTTATGGGCAATTGAACCTTGTAGTAAAATTAATCTACCAAAGCGTATTTTACGTCATCATTCGCAGCCTTTCGCTGATGCGGGAAAATGCAGTAAAATCTGCAGAGTACTCAAGAGGACAGAGACGTGAACTCTGCTCACCAACTAAACAAACTTCAAAGCAAAGGAGATTTTAGCGCATGGCAAAGCACACCTTAATGACGAAAACTGCACTGAAGCACTTGTTTTAACTAACATGAATTTGCCGATATCATGTTTGGTCGCAATTACGCTTCATAAGAGCTCATTACTCAAATCCAAAAAGCAAAGTTTATCGACAGTCGGTCGGTATCAACTGATTGAAGGTGACTTCCTAGAAAATTGCTGGAGTCTACGAGTAATGAATTGAATTCAATACATTATACCTGTAAAGTTCCACTGCTTAAGCAACAAATTCTATCTAAATCCTTAGTAAACTGACTGAAACAAGTAATATTACGGAGATATAAGACCGCTGTCACATAGAAGTTGTAATAAGAGGAAAAAATAACTGTTGGCGTAAAAACATCAACACTCTGGATATAGCACACTATAGTTGTTAAGGTTTTGTTACTGAAATTAATGTTTCTTTCAAATCTGCTTATTCCTGAAAGCTTACAGAATAACCTGACTTCATAAAATTAAGTTAAACCATGTTCTATTAAACACGTACATTATTCAGAAATATAAGATGTGATCGCTGGCAGAAGGAGAAGTTTAGTTGCGCGATGTTTCAGATTCCATTGAGAACTCCTCGTCAGAGCTTGCTTTAGAATAGGTTAATACATGCATATATTAGGCTCTGCGTCACCTTATTCTCCGCTACCTCAAACGAAGGGCTCTCTACCAAATATCCGAATCATTAGGCAAATGAACTACTTCTTCCAGCCTTCACAATTTTTTTTCTTAACTGCTTCCCGGAGCCTAACAAGTATTGATTGCGCTCAATCATATCGACAATATTATTGGGCAGTGCTTGTTGAGCCATCACCGATTATTACTGGAACACATTCGTACCACTATGTCTTAGAGCAGCCGCAAAGCGGCTAGTGGTTAAGGAAACGTGACCCAATTGTGAAAAATCTCGAGGCGTTCGGTGGAATTTGAACCCACGTATCAGAGAAGGCCTTATCGGCGGAAAACGCTCTAACCGCTAAGCTACAAACGCTCCGCCTCGGGCCATTAATTTAATCACACTTGGGTCAATTTTACCCGCCCAACTTTACCGCTATATGGAATCCACCAATACGGAACAGCAAGCTAATCACACTCTGGTCGATTTTACCCGCCCAACTTTACCGCTTGTCTAGAATTCACCAATACGGAACAACAAGCTGACAGCTCAACTTTTCGCTCATATGGAATCCACCAATACGGGACAGCAAGTTGACAACGCAAGCAGGATTTCCTAAGCAATCATCTAGAATCCACCAGAATGACTACTAAACTGACTTAATTATAAGGAGGTTTGAAAGCTTTGCTTAATTTGAGTTCACCCAATTGTGAAAAAACTCAAGGCGTTCGGCAGAATTTGAACCCGCGTATCAGAGAAGGCATTAACCGGCGGCCAACGCTCTAACCACGACGATGGCAAGGTAGCCTTGAGTGATCTTTCCTTGTTCATTAGCCACCATCAATCACTTATACCCAACATCAAGCGATTCAAAACCAGAGGCTGAAACAGCAGTCGTTTGATCAGAATTATAATGTTCTAAGCATTAAGCGTTTAATTCGTTTATCTTATTTCAGCATCGGGGCATTGTTATGATTTACGCAGAAGTATGTTTGCGTTTAAAACTTATCTTAGCCGACATGTCTTTTTTTAAACTCACTAACACATTTATCAGTATATGGTGAAAGGTAGGCTCATTTAATTCTGCACACACGCATTTACGTTTTACTATTAACGTAACTGGAAAAATAAATATCTTTCTTATGTCGATTACTCAGTGGTTCAGATTT